TGGGACCTTCTAAAAATTAAATTCTTATACTCATTGAAAGACTTTGTCAAAAGAGTAAAAAGAGAACCTACAGACTGGGAGAAAATATTTGCCTATGACATATCTGATAAAGGACTTATCTCCAAAATCTATAGAAAACTTCAACACCTCAACACTAAAAAGACAAATAACTCAATTCACAAATGGGCAAAAGACCTGAACAGATACTTCACCAAAGAAGATATACACGCAGCCAACAACCATATGAGAAACTGCTCACAATCATTAATCATTCTTGTTGTTGTTGTTGTTATGTGTCGTCGAGTCAGACCCGACTCATAACACCTCCTCCTTGGGTTTCTGAGGCAGTATCACTATTTTAGAGAGATGTAAATCAAAACAATGATGAGATATCATCTCACCCTGGAAAAGTTCAACAGGTCAGAAAATAACAAATGCTGGTGAAGCTGTGGAGAGATTAGAACTCTTGTGCACTGCTGGTGGGATTGTAAAATGGTACAACCATTGTGGCAAATAGTATGGCGTTTCCTTAAAAACTGAAAATAGAAGTGCCATTTGACCCAGCAATTCCATTACTAGGAATATATCCTAAAGAGGTGAGAGATAGCGCACAAATGGACATATGCACGCCTATGTTCATTGCAGCACAATTCACCATGGCAAAGAGATGCCCATCAACAGATGAGTGGACAACCAAATTATGGTACATGCACACAATGGAATACTATGCCACATTAAAGAACAATGAGGGATATGTGAATCATCTCACAACGTGGATGAAACTGGAGGACGTTATGCTGAGTGAAGTAAGTCAATCACATAAAGACAAGTATTGAATGAGTCATTACTCTAAAAAGACAGAGAAGGGTTTTCTTGGGAAAGGGAACTCATTTTGTAGGTTACTGGGATGGGGAGGGAAGGGGAGGGATTAATTTTGGGCTAGTTGGGACCCACATGCTGACGCGGGTAGGGGGAGGGACATACAGAAAGGATCTGTGACCACCATGATGACACTGGGAAATGGGAGGACACCAAATTGTACACATAAGAGATAGACAACAGATGCTAATACCAACCAATGTGCACACCATACTGCATTGCCATTAACACCAAACACCAGGCTCCAGATAAAGACATAAACACTTGAGAGGATCAGATGGGGGTCAGTGAACAGGAGTTTACTCTAGACCAGGGATAGATTCAGCTGAGGTTAATCTTGCATAGACACCAGTGATACAAAATACCTGCAATCCTTGCAGAAACAATAGAAGACAGACACAGAGTAATCCTTCACAGACAACCAGACACTATGGGAGAGAGATCCAATATATCTACTATCTCAGGACCTTAGTACTGGGAGACACCAGACTCAATTGGCACAGCAAAATACATAAAAACCTTGTTCCGCATTCCACTTTGGTGAGTGGTGACTGGGGTCATAAAAGCTTTCAAGCAGCCATCTAAAATGCATCTAATGGTCTCCTAGCATTGGAAAGAAAGAAGAGTGCAAAAAAAAAAAAAAAAA